CTGGAGCCATAGGTAGGTCAGGTGGATGTTGGGAGGGAAAACTTGGGATGAGGATAGGACTGGCCCTGCTAGGGGTTAGGCACAATGCTAGCCCATAGTCTCATCTAGAGGTCGTGTTGGCTGTCATTGAGTCTGAATCATCAAGCAGGTGTCAGAAGTTAGTCCCAAGTATAGTTGCATTGTCTTTCTGCTTTTTCAGCTTTGTATAAATCTTGGCAGCCTCCTGTTCCTACGGGAAGCGCTGCCGAAATTTTTACAAAGCTGAAAAAGTTAGTCATTTTTTGGCTATTAGAAATTCTGAAAAGGCACTTTTCCTACGGGAAGCGCTGCCGAAATTTCATGAAATTTTGGGAGTTAGAATATTTTTCAGTTAGGAGTTACTTAGCAGATCCTAACTGATCAGAGGAGGTGTTCAACTAATTGGTACTGGTAGAGGAGCTAGAGTACGACTAAGGGGAATGATCTCCCCTTGGCACAGACGTAAGCAGTACTCTTTGTTGGCCTGTACTGTGATGCAGGTTGCTGTGCTATCACTTGAGAGCCTGATCTGATCAGGCTATTCCTTCAGAGGGATTATTCCTCTGTTATCACTGATAACAGGTCGGTTGCTGATTCGTCGGTTTACGACTCAACCCCAATTCACCCTCAATACTCAGCCCAAAGAGGCTTTAGCCCTGGTGATTTTATCCGTTTTGTTAAGGTTTCACCCAGACTTTTATTGAATGGTCATTTAACAGAAGTACTGTGTACTTAATTATGGTTGGTTGGCTGGCGGTTGGGGCTTGTCTGGCTAAAGCGAAGAGTATGAGTGGAGAGGTTGATTGGAGTTGACCCCGTGTAGTGCGTGAATCTTTGTTTGATAATGTGATGTTGTTGCAGGTATGTATGAAAGAGTTTCGATTGATGCATGCTGAGTGGTATTGCGTGGACTCAGATGGGCAAACCACACAACTGTCGTGAGAGTGAACTACCCCACAACCTTTGTGTTTGAGTAAGAGTGTTCTATCCTTGTTCTGCTGAGGTGATGAGCTAGGTAGGCGTGCGTTCGGGGAACCCCTACAGG